TTACTCCTATCCTGGAGTCCCTGCACTGGCTTCCCGTCCGGTTTCATGTCGACCTCAAAATCCTCATGCTCACCTATAGGTCTGTAAAGTACTACTTAAAAACCATTATACTTATTTTTTAAACTTCAATACCGTAACATAATGATCCTAACTGTTGTCACAGCAGACCTGCTACTGCACTCCAAAGCCAACTCTTAGTGCAGCACTACTGATGGAGCAGTTCAAAGAAGGGGGCTACTTCAGGGCGAGCAGTGGAACTCAAACCAGGGGGGCCACAAGTGGGGATGGCGTGGAAGAGCATTTAAACCCGAGAGCATTTACACAAAGGGTGGTGGAGGTGTGGAACAGGCTGGCCAGCAATGTTGTTGTAGCTGATGCAATGGCTTGCCCAAAACACAGCTGACCCTTTCAGGGGACATGAACGCCAGCCAGATTTGTTCTGCACGTTGATTTGAGCATAATCACTGCGCAGAAAACCCCCTCTTGGAGTGTTACTTGCCCCCGATACAAGGCCGCACTTCTCTTGGCCTTGAGAGGAAAAGAGTTTATTGCCGTCCGCACATGAGCATTGGAATTATTATTCGCCCTGATCTCTCGGGACATCCACAGTACTACAGACAACACCGCCTGATGCAGACAGGACATTGCAAACATAATAAATGAACCATCAGGATAGTAACAACCAGTTCTTGTAATACTTCCCCCAGAGCTGTGGAGACGATCCCCGGTTTCCCCTAAATGAGCTGGTTTTTCATCCGAGTTTTTATTGAACATCAGAAAAATACAGAGGAGGAAAGGAATCCGGAAAAAAAGGACAAGTGAACAGAAGAACAACACTCGACAATAGACTGCCAGGGGCTATTACAAATCACAACACAACAAGCTAAATATATATATATATTTTTAAATAACATCAATTGCTTTTGGCCCTGTTCTCTTTCAGTTGTTGTTTTTTTTTAATGGAGTCTGAATGATGCAGCATCTCCCTCTTTATTAGCGTAAAAGCAAGGAGCAGCGATAGACAGTTTTGTGAATATGATATCAACGCTCCACTACCAACAGATTAATTATATATATATATTCTCTTCCTACCTTAAATCTACCCATTACATTGAAACAGAAAGGGAGTCTGCTGAGTCTATCCAGGACATCTGTAGACTATGGTGGTGGGGGTGGAGGGGATCCCCATTACCTGTAAAGCGCTTTGACTCAAAGTTTGAGTGGAGTGTCCAGAAAAGCGCTATATAAGTGTAAGCAATTATTATTACGTACAGGAGGTTCCCCGAATGTGTTCTTGAAGGTGCCCTGGGGGGTGTCTAACCTGTATCTGCAGCTCACACGGCGCTCCTCCCCCAATGGACAGAGCCCACCCGAAGCGGACACCCCGAGACTCCTCAAGAGGCTCCGAGCCGCCCGTGAGCTGCGCAGTTCAGCGGCCCGCCCGCTCCCCCGCGCTGAACTGGGGCTCCCAACTCCAGGACCCCCCTGAAGGGGCCAGCCCCCGAGCTGGAGCAGAGGCAAAGTGGGCGGACATGGGCTCTTCTGTTATTTCACCTTGAGGTGGGGGGGGGGTTCAGGGGTTTTATTGCAAAGCGGCCGTGTGGCGGTGCAGAAATGAGATTTCGCGGCCCGCGGTGGTGCCGCTGTCGGGTCTCACGGCGAGCCGGCGACGCGGATCCGGAGTTCGTAACACCGCAGGCGCCAAGCGAACCCGCTCTCCCCGCCTCTCTCTGGACTCACCCGGGGGAAGGGTGACGGAGACTTGACTTACCCTTCGGACGGGCCCTCGGACACACGCTTCTGCTGCGGCTCTCGGGTTGACAAGTTACTGAAACATCGGAGTTCAAGTTCAGCCAGTTTCTGACCCGCCCCCCGCCTCTTGTGTCCCAGCCCCCTGTTGCTGTTTGACTACTGACACTATACTGTTGCTGTCATGTGTTATTTTTACCGTTGAAACGTACTATGTGGCGCCGCCTTTTCTTCCCTTTAAATCAATTCCTTGCCGAGTCCGACCGCGATTTCAGATACCTTCACCTATCGAAAAGTAGAAACTGACGTCATTTCGGCTCAAAAGCAACGTCCCCGTCAACCTTGGACATAAGGGGCATGTCGGAGCCAAAATGGCGCGGCACCAGCCGCAGTTTCGCTTTTTCATTACGTCAGACGCCGTTGCACTCGTATTATCGTTCCGAAGAGAAGTCACACCGGAATGCGTGTGGTTCCGTCCGGGGCCGGTGTAATTGATGAAGATCATGGACCACCAGCTGAAAGGAACTGTCAACCTGCAACCTCATTCAAATTCTGTTGTTCCATCTATTACAGTAAATAAAAAAAACTAAGTTTTATTACTGTGCGCTTTATTTTGAGTTTCACAAAGGGGTCACAAACTCCTGACGTGTTCAGTATCTCAGATACAT